CCGGTTAACTACGAGTTCCAGTGATAAGGCGAGAGAGTAAGAAAGAGAGGAATAAATGAACGGTGCTCATTTCATATGAAAGGTCCTGTGGAGAAGTTTTCAAGAAGTGAGTACTGCTCTACCTGTATCTCTGCTCCTCATAACACTATTTCAACTACCATCATAACCGTAGAGGAGAAACTTTCATTTCTTACTTGCCAGTTAACTTAGGGTTTAATGCGGTCAGCTCCAAATTCTAGACCAATACACAGAGTACTGACGCGAATATCGGTCATTGTATGCACAACATGTTATATCGTGTTGTCACACAACGCAACAAGTTATAAGGTATCTTTAGAAAAGCAAACAATTGTGGTTTGTAGCTTAGTGGTGTACGGCGTTCGAGATGGACCGATCTCGGTTCTGCCCTACTGGGATTAGATGAATTTGCAACTAACATGTCTTCCTATAGCGAGTGGTTTGGCTCGATTACTACCACTTTTACATCCTATACGTTTGTCCTGGATTATAAAAATCACATAAATCTGCGTGTCGACTAGACGCTTTTGAGGTAGGCCGGAATGCAAAAACTCGCTGATTTTATGAAACCTTCCCAATCACTTTTCGCACTTCAGTGGAACGGTGACTATTAGGTTTTGTAAATACTATCAGGGAACGTTTGTCAGATATGGAAAGCAGGTTAGGGAGGTTACTGACAATGGAAGGATACTTGGTCAATGAGGCAATTCGAGGGACGATGCATAGTGGTATGCAGTCCGAAATGTTGATTTCAAATCTGCCTTCCATAGCTGCGAAGCGTTTCTTTTTCTGTGCCGGAATTATATATGTGTGGCTCGTCAACAATTACTCTAGAACATCAAATTCAACCTAGAATTGCAAGCAGGGGGTTATTATTTTATTATAAAGACATATTTCATAAATATTCAGCCTTTGCGTTGCTATTTTGGGCGAAGGTTGAAATTTTGAGCTTTCTAGTCCAGGTGTTGTAAGCCTTTTTCGATCAAGAGAAGTGTCCATAAGTTTTCTAAGAACGCTTCGCAGATATGGAAAGCAGATTTGGAATCTATGTCTCAAAATGTAACAGTGTTCAGCTTATTCTAACTCCCTCTACGACCAAGTATGCTTCCCTTCTGAGCAACATCTACCACAGCATATTAGTTTTGAGTGGCCTTCCTTAAGTACCTTCCCTTGTAAAATTTCAAAAGAAGAAGGATCTTTATCTTTTGTCATACTTTCTTTGTGAGAGGTGACCTCTAACATTACTACTCTCAATTAAACGCTTTCAGCATCCAGCACTAGATCAGAATTTACTTTTTACCTGGTAACTTTGAATGAAGAGAATCGATACGTCTCATCGACTACCCTCCAGCATTACGATTTCAAATACGACAAATCGAAAAGAACTCGCACCTATTGGGTTTGTAGAAGTTGGAAACATAGGAGATACTGCTTACTAAAAAAAGATTGAAATTTTTCAGAACATGATTAAGAGTAATTACACTGTTTCCTGTCTTTTTGAGGTATTTTTTATGGATCAACTAGTGTTCGCTTGAATTCCAATTTATCGCTGAAGCAATATGAAACAAATTTAATATAAATCTATTTTGTAGGGAAAGCTACAATGTGTTCCCAGAGCAGATGCTATATTTATTCGATACGAAAACGAGCCTGATGATCCATGGGCAATTGACCAAATCACAGTAAAAGTGCGCTTTATGACGGGACATTACGATATGTATGAGTGAGTCAGAAATATTTGATATAAAATTATATTTTCGATCAAATATTTCAGAAATGTTTGGTTTTTTGAACATACCCTACCACTACCATGCATGTCGTACCTGTCAAAGAAGCGTTTGTATCAAATTGGTCCCCGTAATGGTCTTTTCATTGAACATAAGTATAAGTATTTTCCATTTGAGGAGACATGGATAAGGGATTGGCTTTAATGTCTTTTTTTGTTGTTACAAAACATATTCTGTTCTTTAAAATAAATAATTTCAGTATTGTTCTCAGTAAAACATGTTAGTTTTTTATTTGCACAACTATAAAGATTCTCGCCAAAGCTTCTGCTTCAACACAGTTTTACTGAATAACCTAGCTCAGATTTATCGAATTTGGGATTATCATACCATTGCTGCAACTACGGAATTAATAAAACTTGACTGAGAGGTTTTCAAGCATCCGTTTAGAGTTAATACCCAGCCCCATCGCAATTCGGAAAATTTGAGAGAGAGCTCAATTAATTTAATTTCTCTCTATTTTCCAAACATCGTAACTATAGATTACAACTGTGTAAACCGATTTCGCTCTACCAATCTGTCATAGACACTCCACGAACAAATTACGATTATTCTATAGTCGGCGCTTCACGCTTGCCGCTCTCGCAACCTATCCAATTCCCATATAGGCATAGTTTCTAAAGTGAGAAAACGAAGAACGAGACTGCTCTACTCGACAACAGATGAAGTTTCTAAGCTCTAACATAGGGAAGACCAGGCATCTGAAACGAATAGATGTCAAACTTAAAGCCTAGTAATGACCTTAAAAAATTACACGTAACCAAACCAATGTTAAGAAGAATTAACTTTGGAAAACAAGGACTTCTAATGCTACAAATTTTACAAATAAAGAAGGAGGATCAATTTTCCGTATTTGAAGAAGGCTTTTGTTTCTTTTAGGGATTAATGTGACCCAAAAAAGCCATTTTATAACACTCTGAACTTTTATAATGAGATCACTTCCATCTACATAATAAATAAAAGTAATTTTTGTGAGCATAACAACAAGTATGCGCGAAGGGCGCGCCATCGCTGTGAAAGCCAAATACTCAACAAACTTTTAGAGAAATCGACCTCGTACCCTAGTTTATTTCCTTCAAACTCAGGAAAAAACGGCTGTTTTTCAATAGCGAAAGATAACAAACTGATAACCCAATATAGCAAGTGATGAGGTAGATTAGAACCCAAGAGCATCTCGACTCTCCCCTTTTAGGGTAAGTTCGTCCCTGAATAATTAGAAGGAAATTGTCAATAAGGGCTAGGTTCATATGCTGTTTGCATGATGTACATTCAGTATTTGAAACAAACAATTCTGCTTTAGCGCGAAGGCAGGAAACGTAGCACTAAATTGGCACTTCTCACGCTCGTTGAAGTCAAATAGCCGGGACTTTGTTTCTGCTGCTTCCATGTTTTATCTTTGCTTATTTTGCCTAATTAGGTTTTATGAGGTTTAAAATCCGATAAAGCTCTCGACATGTAAGTTTTGCTTAGGAGTTCTAGACCTCAGATCGATAGAAGGTACCAATAATCCTAAAAAATCCAGCAAATCAAGATGTTTTTTTTTTCAGGGAAGGAAAGGCATCATTTATCATGGATCACTGCTTTATAACAATACAGATCGAGTCGAACAATCCTTTAAGTGCACTCGACAAGTCAATACAGATTATAACTGTGCGGGTTGAAAGAGAAGAAGTGCTCTGATCGTGATATTCAAGTTCTACAATAGCCTATATAATATATGAAAGCAGTAGCATGTATACGCATCATCACACAGAAAATACCAGTACGAGAATCTTAAAGATTGACAAATTGGAGTTGACGAGGATGGAAATGATCCTATTTCATTCTTACTCTTTATTTTTTAAAAAGAAATTAAGAAATTGAAGTATAGCACAAAATTTTGCTATTAATATTAAAATCAACAAACAAAAAGAGGACGCATTGGCTTCAGGAAGATGTGCTTTCCAGAAAATAATAATCGCAGGATGATTTACGCTTTCTACAATACCCTAAACACCGGAAGATGAAACGCGCTCGAGAGCACTATTAAGCAAAACCAGGTGCATTATCATCGTTGATTAGGTGCACAGACGAAAGAATTGTGCGCTCCGATCGAGCAAGCGCATTGCGCGCGATGCTCGGCATTAGTCCTGCACGCGAAAGTGCTTTTGAAACACCGCCTCCTACCGGTATTTGAGGTAATCAAAGTTAAGAAAATGATTTTCCAAAATCTCTGCTCTAATTTCCAGTTCTCACGGTCTTGAGGATATGGTCAATTTATTTGATTTGTGGCACAAATCACCACTTGAATATTCTTTCATGAAATAATATGCAGAAATGGGCTAAATAGCCAAAAAATGGCACTTTACTTGCACCAGTAAGAATAGCATAGTTCCACAAAATTCTTTAAAAATTTCTCTAAAAGTGCCCCTTTGAGATGGAAAACATTGTCAAATAGTGG